CCTCCTCCTCCTCCTCCTTCTCCTTCCTTCTCCTTCTCCTTCTCCTTATTATCATTATCATTATCATTATTATTATTATTATTATTATTATTATTATTATATTATCTGGTAGAAATCATACCAAGGATAATAAAGTCATAAATAAGCAAAACCTTTTTCACTAAGAAATAGTTTAGGCCTAGGATAATGAAACCAAGCTGCCTGAACCAATAGAATAGGCCAAAAAGAGGAGTTATATTCATCTACGTGCAAATTAGCCTTTTTTCTGTTAACCTATTTCTATTTAATTTATTTTTATTTATTATTATTATTATTTTGCTTTAAAGTCTTTAAGAATTTACTGTGTGCACTGCTATTGTTTCTGGGATTACCATTTCATAAATGCTTACTACAGGTAGCACAGTGGAGACCCTGGCAACAAAAGTAGCTACTACAGTTAATCTTTCATTCTATTGGATATGATAAATTTAATTCAGTAGTTATATACATCTAGATTGGCTTTGAAAATTATAAATTTATAAACTCAAGTTCCAGTTGCTTTTTGGATACTATCTTATAAGGACTCCAACGTACAGTATGGCTCGATAAGGAAGGGAATGGCTCAGTTGCCTTTAGCCTACTGGCTATGGGTGAGATAGGACCTCTGTTGGTCTTTTCTGTATCGAACACACAGATTGCAAGCCCAGTGCCACTTTGAGATCTTTGGCAGCAATTAACCATGCAGCTCACACATTATTGAGCCAGTATGATAATGAGTATTCAGAGACAGGTAATGCCTGGGGGGCACTTACCAACCTAAGACAGAGCACCTGTGTGTGTGGCCTGGGCAGGCGTCTCCATGACGGGTAAGGTGAGCTGCTGACGTCCCACGCAACCCAAGTCAGAAGCTCATTTTTTAATAAAAGGGGGGCCTGCAGGGCCCTGGCCCCCGTTTTGGGTAACTGTTGCCTTGCTTGCAGACCTTGACCTTGATATCCTCCCAATGCTAATTCCTTGCCAGGTTCCACCCTCCTGAATGCTTAAGGGAAGTTCCTTGTCTGTGTATCCTGAATAATGGGCATTAACAGCTTAGATGCAAGATTGTAAAACATCAGTAGTGAACTTCTGCCCTCCGGGGTCCTCCCATTGTGCTGTAAGCCTGTAATTAAGACCTCCTACCCCCTTCAAGAAATGACATTCGCATTTAAAATTTATGTATATATACATATATATATATATATATATTGAATGAATACTGCGAATGTAATCTATGAATATCACAAATGTGATTAATATCATGAGTGTAATTTAAAAAAAAATAAATAAATAAGAAGAATTTACTGTGTGTATTAATAAAAGCCAAACCACGTTGTTGTTGTTATTATTGTTGTTTGCTTGTTTGTTTTTTGAGACAGGGTTTCTCTGTATAGCCCTGGCTGTCCAGGAACTCGCTGTGTAGGCCAGGCTGGCCTACCTCTGCCTCCCGAGTGCTGGGATTAAAGGCATGTGCCACCACTGCTAAATCTATGAGCTAAATCTTAATTGAAGTGATTATACTTCATGTTTCTCATATTAAAAACTCAACTTTATCTTAATTCAGATTTGAAGTATTTTAGAAAAGTAACTTTACTTAAGGTACATTTCTAGGGTCTGGAAGTATAGTTAATTTTTCTAGAGCTTGTGCTTAGCAAGCATAAGGTTCTGTGTTTAGTTCCCCTCCCCAAAGATAGTTTCTGTTTTTGCTTTGATAAAGAAGCATACAACTTATTTAAATATGTAAATTTTCTAGATGAACTTTCTTTTCTATCCATGGAATAATTATGTGTTCAAGGTGTTTTTATTGTTATTCAGTAGGATTTACATGAATATTGGGGGCGGTAGTGGTGCACGC